TGATACAAAAATGTTGTGTTTTATAAGGTATTTATTATATATAATAGAACTTAACTGAAGAGAAGTTAGTAAACTAAAGAGCACTTGTACATATTTCCAGGATATGTATTAAAGATAAAAAGAGGATGAATTTGTATAACAAGGAAATATACTTTTAGATTAACCAAAATTTAACGGCCATCTAAAGATCTATGCACATTTACTATTTCAAAGTTAAATTTCTTATGAAAAAGAATAGACACTCCTCTGCTATGTGCAGAATCTGTATTTGAATGTAAGGATGTGCCATACCACCTTGAATCGTATTTAAAATTATTTTTTTCACAAAAGTGCGTCTCTTGTAGAAAAATAATATCTATATTGTTGTCATTAAACCATTGATACAATGTATTTCTCTTATCATAACCATTCAACCCTCTAACATTGAGGGTAATACACTTTATGTATTCCATATTTTAAAAAAGCAGATAAAGAGATAATGCTTGTGCATAATTAAACGTTTAAGCATGTATAGATAATAATTGTTATTTATTATGTGTAGCTGGGCGAGGTAGCCCTGATCTGGCCCTGTTTTTCGGATTTTTCTTTATTTCCGTGGCTATGCGTCCAAGAATCTGTCCCAGGACATTTTTGCCTGGCCATGCTGTGGGTTTTGAATGCTTGGATTGGTTAAGATTGAGACCTGTGGCCCAAAAATCGTCGTAAGTTGTTTCGGCAAACACGACATTTTTGGGTGAATTTTCGAGAGAGTCACGGAAGTCCTCTACTTGTTCCGATTTTTTCGTAATTATTTCCTCCATTACTTCCACCTGTGTGGAAATCCAGGTGTCGGATGTCGTGATTAGGTTGCCAATCCGTTTGGCCTCAAGTGCCGACTCTGCAGCTCGGATTTTATCTGCAGCCATCAGATCTCCGGATCGGATAGCTTTGACACACTGGAAGGCTTGTTCCGCAGAATCAAATTGTTTGCCAAAGACAGAGAGTTGACACGGATAGAAATTAGATAGAACGTTTTCTTCACCATGAAAGAGGATGCAGTTATTTGGACATTTTTTTGTGAAGTTCGGACATTGTTCATCACCAGGGGAGTGTCCTGGCTGAAGACATACTTTACATTTGGAATCCTCCGTGCATTGATTGGTGGAGTGATCCAACTCCAACAAATGCTACACTTTCTTTTCGGTGGTTTTGGTTGACCAAAGTGATAGATGCGGCACTGAATTCCTGCGCAGTAGCTCGTGCGAGGTAGGAATTTGTTTTCTGCGAGAGGCTCTACGTATATATATCTGTTGCCATTCAACACTCCGGTCATTTTTCTGGTCACGGGATTTCTTATTTTTTCATATTGTAAATCACTTTTTAGGTTTACACCTAGTTTATTAAGCATTGCCAGAATTTCGTTGTCATCTACAGAGAGAGGCACGCCAGACACAGTGACTTTGAGAACTCTGTCTGCAGGGGATTTTGAGCCTGTTGTGTAAGGATTATGGTCATAGACATTGAAGTTTTGATTATTGATGTCAACCCCTTGCGCCAGTAATGTTTGTTTGCTTTCATCATCGATCAAATATATTCGCCAGAGGTCACGGTCGAGCTGTATGCATCGTACCGTGTCTCCGATGGAGCGAATCACACATTGCATAAGCTCAAAATCAGATATTCTTTTGTTTCTGTTCGTTTGAATTTCACTATTTTTTAGATAGACAGGCTTAGATAATGCTTCCATCTTGAAACAAGAGTTTTTCCCGATGTTTATGACATATAATTGTCAGTTTATAAATGACAGGTAAATAACAAGTAAACACAGGTGAACACGTACTCACCGATCAGCCGAACCATTTACAAAGAAAGATCCCAAACTATCACAATAATGCAAATCGATTTCTGCACAGAAAAGTGTCCTATACGACAACTAGGCGATGGCGAAATCGTTCTGTGATTTTTGGAGTCAAAAAGTCTTTGAAAACAGCAGAAATTTGTCAAAAAATACGGAGCGAGGGAGGCCACTGCTTTCCTTCGCCCTGTCACGTGACTTTTTTTTTGATTTTTGGTTAATCTAAAAGTAAATGACTCAATCATTACCCTCGTAAATGTTTATGCACCAAACGATGAAAAAAGTAGAATAGATTTTTTCAAAAAATTAAAAACGTGGATTTATAGATTAGCAATGAATGAAAATAACATAATGCTTGCAGGAGATTTTAATACAGTACTTAAAAAACAGGACAGACATAATACACAATCAACAAATAATGATAAAAGCTCAAAACAGCTAGAAGATATGCTAAATTACTTAAATTTAATTGATACATGGAAGACTAAATATAAAGAAAAGCAAGGATTCACTTGGTGTGACGGAAACGGAATACCAAAAAGTAGAATAGATTTTGTATTTTTGTCTAAAAATTTTGAGTTAGACTTGTCAAAAGTTTTTCTTAGAAAGGCTCCTAATACGGAAGGTAATAGAAGTTCAGATCATCTTTCGATTAGATTAAATCTTTCAATGAATAAAGAAACAAGAGGTCAAGGTTACTGGAAACTAAATACCTCGCTACTAATTGACCAAAATTATATTTCTGAGTTAAGGGAATTGTTAAGAAATAAACAGCAAGAATTGGAAGGTGTAATAGATTATCAAATAAAATGGGAAAAGGTTAAACCTATCGTAAAAGAGTTTTCAATAAACTTTTCAAAACAAAAAAGTCTTAATAGAAAACAAAGAATCACAGAAATAGAAAAAGAAATAGAAAACATTGAAACGTCTCCGCACTACTTAATGGACATGAGAAGGAAAAAAATTCTTGAAACAGAGTTAGATGAAATTTACGCAAAAGCTAATAAAGGCGCATTTATTAGATCAAAAGCAAATTGGATAGAAAATGGGGAAAGAAATACATCATATTTTTTAAGATTAGAAAGAAAAAATCAATCGGCAAATACGATACATGAAATTAAAAAAGAAAATAAATTACTAAATAAAACCGAAGACATCATGGAGTCACTTTGTAATTTCTATGAAAACCTATATTCAACAAAACATGTCCGAGTAGAAAACATAAAAGAATATTTAGAAGATTGTGATTGTCCTCAATTAACTAATCAAGAGAGAGAGATGTGTGATGAACTTCCAACGATTGCTGAATGTGCGCAGGCTATAAAACAAATGAAAAATAACAAATCTCCTGGTTCTGATGGGTTACCCGTCGAATTCTATAAAATATTTTGGAACGATATTAAAAAATATTTTTATGAATCATTAACTAAGACATTTGAAAAGGAGGAAATGACTTTTTCGCAAAAATTATCAATTATTTCCCTGATACATAAAAAAGGAGAAAAGAATGATCTCAGAAACTATAGACCTATTAGTTTAACAAATTGCGATTATAAAATATTAACACATATTTTCGCGATCAGACTGCAGAAAGTTATAGACAAACTAATTAATAAGGATCAATCTGCATATATCAAAGGTAGATATATAGGAGAAAATGCAAGACTTTTGCTCGATATATTTGAATACTGTGAAGCGAACCAAAAAGAAGGAGCAATTTTACTTCTTGATTTTCAGAAAGCTTTTGATTCTGTTGAATGGAACTTTATGTTCAGTACTTTAGATAAATTCAACTTTGGAGATCAATTCATAAAATGGATGAAAATTCTTTATACAAAGCCTGTATTTCGTATCAGAAATAATGGATGGATGTCTAGAACCTGTAAAATGACGAAAGGGATTAGACAAGGATGTCCAATCTCAGCATTGTTATTTCTATTTATTGTAGAAATAATGTCAATAAAATTACACAATTCATCAGAAGTGAAAGGTTTTACTAATGACTTTATGCCTAACGAAATAAAAATCCTTCAACACGCAGACGATACATCGCTCTTTTTACAAGATATAAAATCTATAGAAAACGCAATAAATATAATCGAACGATTTGGCGAGATATCAGGAATGCAACTTAATAAGAATAAATCTGAAGGAATATTATTAGGGCCATTGATGATATGATCAAACAGATATGATAAATTGTACGATATAAATATTACGAATGCACCCGTAAAATGCTAAGGAATATTTATTGGTCATGATTCAGATCAGTGCTATGAAAAAAACTGGACAGAAAAAGTCGATAAATTAGAAAAACGACTCGCAATATGGAACACCAGAAAGTTAACTATTTATGGAAAAAGTACTGTCATTAATACTTTAGCATTAACACAAATATACTACAGTGCATCTATTTTGCAATATCCTAAAATTGAAACAATTAAAAAAATAAAGAAAACAGTCTTCAATTTTCTATGGGGAAAAAGAGAACGAATAAAACGAAATACATTAATCGGAAAACAGAACGAAGGAGGGATAGGAATTGTTGACATTGATTGTAAACTGAAAGCGCTCAAGGTCGCATGGGTTACACGAATTTTCAACGAAAAAAACTCATCTTTAAAGTTGTTTTTTACATCTTGTGTTGCGAGAAAATTCGTTTCACCAGAATATCTTATTAGGATAAATACAACAAGTACAGGTGAAATAAAACAAATATTTAAGTCATTACCTACTTTCTATTGTGAAATAGTCAGTACATTTAACGATTGCAAAAATAAAATAAATGATATAAGGGAGACAACCGATAATGAAATATTGTCTCTACCTATATGGTTGAACAACCTGGTTCGATTTAATGGTAAATGTCTTTTCTACACCAACTGGATAAAAAGTGGGATCTTATATATTAAGGACCTGTTTGATGAAAACGGAAACTTCCATGACATCAATTATTTTCAAAATATTCTTGTTAACAAATCCAACTTAATCAGTGAATACAATACTTTGAAAAAAGTTATTAAACCCATACAAAAACATCATGATGCTTCAAAAGGAGCTTATATTAATATAAAAAATCAAATGATGATTTTGTTAGAAAATAAACAAAGATTACCGATAAACCTGATAAGTAGCAAACTAATTTATGACATCTTTCTGAAGAAAACTTTTATGAAACCTTACTCCGAAAAATTTTGGTCGAGAAGCTTTAACTTTAACTTTGAGGAAAACAAGATACACATCTATCAATCAAAAATTACGAAAATAAAAGATAAACAATTAGCAGAATTTAACTATAAGCTTTTACAAAATCTACTCAATAATAACAAAAATGTTCACAAATGGAATAGAAATGTATCGAATAAATGTCCATTTTGTGAATCACTTGAAGATACAAAACACCAAATTTTTGATTGTAGAAATGTAGAAACGATTTGGGCAAATCTAGAAAACCGTCTGAATTTAAATATAAAATGGAAAAATATTGTATTGGGTTTTTTCTATGAAGAAAACAAAACTACTATCTCACTGAATTATCTATTATCTTACATAGCATTTTTTATATACAAGATAAAAATGAAGCTAAGATATGAAAACAAAGAAGAAAATATAAATGAGATTTTGTATTATGTAAAGGCAAACCTAATGTATCAATATGAAATTTATAAAAAATTAGATGTAAACTTTATATATAAATGGTTTTATGATATTTCGATAGCTTTGTGATAATAATAGTCTGACTATCTGAAGGGGTCTGTCCTTCAGTAGTGCTGCCAGGTGGGGGTAATTATTATGGACTCTGTGGGGTGAAAGATATACCCCAAGGCAGCGAGGCTTAATTCCTATTATTTATTTATTTATTTTCATATATTCTTGTAAAAACAAATACTTACATATTTTTATAAGGATTCATATTCTATATGGTTAATCTATATATGTATATGTCTTGGTATTTAGATGAATATATAATTTTATACATATACTAAATATACATATCTATGTTATATTTTATCCGATCCAATGGGCCCCTGGCACCATTGGTGAGGATTAGCCGGGAATATCCTAGGATAT